TGGGAGGGGATCAAAAGCAAAGTCCCTGAGCGACCAGAGGAGCCTGACCCAGAGCACAAGTGGAGGGGGTGGCCTTGATGGGAGGAGGGAGCTGGGAGCCAAGGTGAGCACAGGTGCAAGTTTGATGGTGGGAGAAAAACCAGCTCTCATCTGATGGCTTCTATTTTGTCGTGAAAATGATTGAAGTGAGGTCTCTTGTGAGGATATGAGGGTGTGGGAGGTTCAAGGAGACAAAAAGATATAAAATGGTTTATCTTGGAACATGGGAAGCCACCAGATCACAGAGGTAGAGCAGCATTGTTCCAGGAAGGGGGTGGCCTTTGCTGTCTCCTCTCTCCCCCACCTCTTCCGGCCCTGGGACTGTGAGTGGTCTGTTGGGTCCAGGTTGGGCTCTTGAATATGTTACTTACTAGACACATAGCCCGAAGCAGCTTGCTTAGCCTGCCTGAGCCTCAGTTTCTTCCACCCCATCACTTTAATCCTATTTCCCCTGCCTACTTCCATCAAAGGAGCTGGCATGAGCAGAAGTCATTCCACTTTTAATAATTAGCTTTGAATACGGAGTTCTCATATATCCACTGTCCCCACACATGCCTCTCCCGCTCTCAACCTGAGGCCAGAGGAACTTCCCCTGAACACAGGGCTCTGCCCCAATGCCCCTTTCACAGATGTCCCTTCTCAGTGCTTCAACAGCCATGTTGGAAAGCCTATGAGAAAGTGGATTCTACCATTACCTTGCTGTGTGGTCCTGAGCAAGATACTTCATTTTTGCTGGGCCTCAGTTTCCTCTACAGATAAAGAAGAAAGCAACTGGGCCAAGTGTGAACAGGAAAGGAGCAGGCGCTGGGAAGGAGCTGCTTAGCAGCCCTCTTCCACTGCCTTCCTCTGTCTCGGCTGGTGGGGTAGATTTCTAGCCCCCACGCCCACCCCAGAGACTCACAGAAAGATGGTCAGGGATTTTCGGGTTGTCCATTCTCATTCCTGGGGCCTTGAAGGGCCCAGGTTTAGGGACCCTGTACTAGGTACAGCCTTCTCCATGCTCCAGCTTCCTCTAAGCTGCCTTTTGTCCTGGAAGCTGACTTTTATGGACTATCTTCAGGGCACCCTCACACTCTGGCTTTGGTGGGGTTTGGCCAATGGGAGGCACTGGCAAGACATCAGAGGATGGAGGAGAGAGAAGTGAGAGTGAGACTCTCCTGGTGCCTCCCTGCTTCCCTCTGTTGGGGGCATTGGCCGGGTTTTGCTGTTACAGCTCCAGCTGGGTGGTCCAGCTGGGCTCCAGCTCCCACCGGTTTCATCAGAGTTCCCTCCCCTCATCCCCTCCAGGGGACAAGTGGTGAAAGGACTTGTTGGGTGCTACTGACCTCACAGCTCTTGTCCATTCCCCTTACCCTGCCCTCAGCTCTGTAAATAGTCCCATTAACCCCCTTCAGCAAGCCCTATGAATGTGCCTTCACCTTCCTGCTGTGTCTGACCCATACAGACTCTGAGTACCTCTTTCGTGACTTTCAGAACTGGTATCTCAGCCCACCTCGGCTTGGGAAGATGCACCCATCTGGAAGACCTAGAGGTGAGTTGTGAAGGGGCAAAGCAAAGGTCCCTCTTTGCTGCTGGGTATTTTCCTTCCAGCTACACTCCTCTCTGATTCTCATTGTAAATGAGTAAGTGACAAGTCACTTAATGCTGTGCTACCGGATGACATATTTCACCCAACACGAGTCTGTTGCTCATAATAATTACCAGTATTTGTGTATAAGCTGCATTCCTCTCACCATCTATCTCATTTTTGGTTGACAGGCTCCCAAATTCTCTCTCATATCATGCATAATGCATGAATGAATCTCAAGAGGGAAAGTCAGCAGGGCTCCTTCTACCTCAGTCTCCTCATCTGTAAAAATGGGATAATTCCACCAACGTCATCGAGCTGCTGTGAGGAGTCAGTGAGTGATATCTGTAGTGCTTAGAACAGCAGGTGCAAAGCATTAGCTAACACTATTATTATTCTCATTGGATTCGTTTTGGCTCACTTCCTACAGCTTGTATGTTGGAAGAGGAACAGGGGACCTGGGTAGGTACTCCTAAGTCCCCCCACTTTCAATGTTTTCCTCAGCACTCTTTCCCTCCCTGTACCTCATTCCTGAGTAGATTTCCTTCTCTGACAACCTTTTCATACCGGGAAGTGTCTGGAAGGACAAGCAGGGCAAGTTGTGATTCTTATATTTGCTGTTCTCAGTCCTAGACCAGTGGTTTTCAAATAATGGCCTGGGGAGCCCTGGGGTTCCCAAGAAGCCCTGAAGACCACAGAGAGTGGGTATTGCTCTAGGTCACACCTTCAACTTGCTTTAGTCTGTTTAAGCTTCCTTTCAAGATTCTGTTTAAACAAAGGTTTCCAAGATTTTAAAAAGTTGAAAATTCCTGTTCTGAGATACTGGAAGCCCAGATTTTGTAACTCTCAGTCTCAGTTTCTTTGGCCCCACTGCCAAGAAGCTCTCTCTGATCTATTCAAATAGTTAGTATCATTTTCCATTTCTGACACTCTGAAACAGATAAGTGAACAAGCGCATCTTTGTGTACTCATCTGGGGTGTCTTTCCCATGTCGGCATGTTCAGCAGAATTGTCTCTTTAATTACCAGGCCCCTGGGGAAGATAACTACAAGGCTGTTTAACAATGAAGACATTTGACTTTTACTGGCACCCGATCCAGCTGCTGGAATACTTCCAGCCCCTGGAATCCAAGGTTACTAGAGGACCATCTATCCTGATGACCGTGGGCCAGTGGGCCAGGCCTGGTCTCAGTGGCTGCTAGGAGTGAGGGAAGTGGGTCCCCAGTATCTGGAGTTGGCTGGAGGAGTTGGAGAGACTAGGCACAGAGAACGTGAACACAGGAAGGCAACAAAAGCCCAATGTCCAGGTCTCTCTCTGGAATGCCCTTATCCCAGATTGCCACAAGGCTTCCTCCCATACTTCATTTGGGTCTTTGGCTCAAATGTTACCTCATTGGAACTGGGGCAAGAGGAACCCCTACCTTAGTTTTTGAGCTCTCTGGCCCTCCTCCCGCCACGCCCCATTTCACAGAGCAAAGAGCCCATGGGCCAAGGGGATGTGCCCCTGCTCCTCACTCTCCAGATCATACTCTGGTTCTTGAGGCCCTAGAATTCACTGCCCCAGTAGCACCAGGCCAGCTTTTAGAGACTGCATCGGCTTTTCCCCAAGGTCTATCCATCCTCTTGAGGAGCCAAGGAGTGGCTATTTGTTGGAGCTGTGAATGGATTTCAGATGTGCAGACAGGGATGTTACAGGTGAGGGCACAAGGCCCCTTGAAGTATGGGAGGGGCTGGAGTGCAAACAGTAGCAGGAAGGCCAAGGGCCAGGGACCAGTTACCACCAAAGCTGCCCCATTCCAGTTCATCTTGGGGGAGTCTAAGAATTCTAAACTTAAATTTGGTCTTCCGGATTATTATGAAAGCATCCTTGTCAAGATAGGAATTTTACATAAAGATTTAACTTGATACGTAGGCCTCCATTTTTACTATTGACCCTGACCCTGCAAATATTAGGGGCCAAAAAAAGAGCACTTCCTCTGTCACTCTATTCTTAACCTATTGTATATTTCTTTTTTTGTTAATCCTCACCTGAGGACATTTTTTTCCCATTGATTTTTAGAGCGAGTGAAAAGGAGGGAGGGAGGGAGAGAGAGAGAGAGAAACACCCATGTGAGAAAGACACATCAATCAGTTGCCTCCAGCACAGGCCCTGACTGGGGCCCTGGATCAAACCTCCAACCCTTCGGTGGGCTGGCCAACACTCTAGCCACTGAACCACACTGTCCACTGCTGCATATTTCTTTCTTTTAAATATGGCTTTATTGATTTCAGAGAGAGGAAGGGAGAGAGAGATAGAAACATCTACTGGGGATCAGCCTGCAACTGGGGCATGTGCCCTGATTGGGAACTGCAATCTCCTGAATCATAGGTCTCTGCTCAACCGCTGAGCCACGCCAGCCTGGCCAGGGCTGTATATTTCTTAATAGCATTTATCGCCAACAGATCTACATTTACAGTGGTACCTTGGTTTTCAAATGTAACCCATTCTGGAAGACCAGTCGAGTTCTGAAATGTTCAAAAACCGAGGCCTCAGGATCTTGCCCTCAGCGGAAGCCATGTCCCATGTTCGAATTCCAAGGAGTGTTTGAAAACCAAAGCATTTACTTCTGGGTTTACGGCGTTTGTAAACTGAAATGTTCGTCAACGGAGACGTTGGAAAACCGGGGTGCCACTGTACTTGTGTGTCTCCTCTCTACCCCTACCCCCATATCACCACTAGAAGGTAAGTTCCATGACTGCCGAGCCTTGGTTTTGTTTACTGCCTTGTTCTTAATACCTAGGGCGGTGCCTGGCACAAAGAAGCCACACAGTAAATGTTGAATGAGTAATGAATCTAATCTCAGAGGGCTTGCAGGCAAGGTGGGCCAACCCAGCAAAGAAAAACGAAAAAGATCCTTTGTGACAACCAACCCTCTATGGAGCGCCTTCTCCCCTTAAAATAACTCAGTATTAGAGTTACAAAAGGTGACCAGGGAAGACGAACCCTTAACCTTAGTACACACGAACGCAAGATTAGTTATCAGGTTCCCTGTGAGAGGGGCATTTAAGTGAGTGTGGAGAGCTGCGAGTAGACTGGAAAGATAGATGTGGGGGACCTGGGCTGCTGGGAGCCCCAGTTGGCATTCTCGCCCTAACAAATTAGGAGGGTAGCCAGACCTGGGTGCTGAGGGACACTGATGCCACTGCAGTGGCAAGGCCAACCCAGCCCAGCATATGGTGGGGAGTCCACGCTTAGGAAGCCCTCAGATGGTTCCCTGGGACGGCCACGCGCCTCAGGGGGTGTGGGCACATCTGACCCCTGTGGGGCCACGGTGGTCACAGACTCCGAGACTGTTCCACCAGCCGTCCGTCGTCTCTCCCCCCCGCTTTTCATTTACAACATCTTATCGCTTATTCCAACTCATTTTCGGTTGGATACGGGGCCCGGGAGACGCCAAATGACCCTCCCACGTCGCCAGCAGCTGCGGGAGAGCCGGTCGGGGCCTCTGCCCCGCGGACGCCCCACTCCTTCCATTTGGGGGCGGGGGCTGCAGGGCCCGGGCTGCTCTCCCCGCCCCCTGGGGGGGAGGGGGAGGCCGCACCCCGGAGGGCGGCTCTGGGGCTCTGGTTACCCGCGAAGGGGGCGCTCGCGGCCCAGCGCGGCC